AAAAAAAAAAAAAATTGAGCCCAAAAGTTCAGGGTGGGCCTGGGCCTTACTGGGCTCCGCCCCTGCATTTAGTATTGATTTAATGCTTGAAGGGAAGATGGCAAATAATTTGCAGGATTTAAACGAGCCTTGCCAGAATTAATATTTAAACAATTAAGTATAATCCTTAAAAACTCAAGAACACAAAGAAAAATGATGAATATGAATGAAAGAAAGAGTTTTAATCTTTAATTTGGAATGTAAAGGAACTTCACTTGTTTTTCATGTGCAATCCATGAACCCAATGTCCTATATATAGGCCAAGTTTAGATGCACGAAATAACGCCAAAAAACATGTGAAAAGGCACCAAGTTCAAAAACACTAACGATCAAAAACTACCAAAACGGCCAGAATTTTGTACCATGCGACTACATGGTACAAACCATACCGAGACATTAAGTCTCGGTAAATACCCATGCGATAGCATGGTTCAAATTTTTTCTTTTACCATTTCTTCTTCCTTCTACATTCCATTTTTATTTTATTAATATTGAAAAATATATATATAACAATTACAACACACATTAGAATGCAATACCATTGAGATGAAAGGGGGTGTAACCGTCGTATACACTTCGAAGACAAATTGACAAAGCTTTGGGCAGTATAGAATTCACTTACTTTAGTGGAAAGGTTATGGGGGTATTTATAGGGTTGAAGGAGCAAAAGGGGCACCTACATGCCCTAGACGGGATCTTTCCCACCCCATAAGCCGATGTTAGACGGGTGGATGAGTTATCTGAAGTGGGTGGTCTAATGAAGGTAACTTTCGCCACTCTGTAGCATTTCATCTAATAACGATTATTAAGAGACATCGACTACCTAAACCTACCTTGCTAAGTTAATCACTCACCCACCTTTCTTCATTGGGAAATGTGACCTTATTTGGTTGATAGCATGACACATACGGAAGCTTCATTCATACTTGTTCTCTGCTAATAGATTTTGTATAATAGAGCGTCTTTGGGTTATCGTCCAAGACTAATCAACTTGTTTACATGCGTTCTTCCCAAGCCAAATAAGGCCTTATAATATTTGGACATCTAGCCTCGGCTTATGCTCCAAGGCATTGTAAAGTTTCCAATGATTTCCCGAGTGATCACCATGGAAAGTCGGTTCATCTTGAGCCTGATGAAGTTGGCCAACACCTCGGCCTCAACCTAGGCTTCAACTTAGGCCTTGTGCTTGTTGGCATCCAACACTTAATTTTGCCCTAGTGTTGTATGTAAGCTATAGTCTTTGGCTTCTACATTGCATGGGTTAGTTGAGGCATGAGGGTTGGTCTCATCACTTAAAGCAACCTGTCCATGTGACTCTTATGTGGCATCGACTAGGACTCCACGTAAAATGGAGGCATAACAACAGTTCTCCAAATCTGATGTTATAATTTATGTTTAAGACTTTCCGACTTTTCTTTGGTTGTGGTTTGATGTCTTAGTTCGCCAACTTGGTCTTCTTTCATGCTCAATCCTCACGTGGCTTAATTGCTTGCTACAAGTTTGGAGTGCCCATGCCTTTGTGCCTAGGACTCCTCGTAACATGGAGTAACGAAGTCAAAATCTACTGGTTCATGATTTACCGAGAAAAGTTTGAACAAGCAGAAGAAACATTGGAAAATGAAACCTGAACAGTACACGAAATGGTACGCCTGAATTAAACAAGAATCCACAAATCAACCAGTTTTTACAATTTTGGACAGGTAAGTGGTAACTTCAGCATCCACTCGCCTTCCAGATTAATCTAGTTATATAGCAAAGAATGTAGAGCTTCATTTTTTCCGCCCTTTCAATGAAACCTGAACACTACACGAAATGGTACGCTTGGATTAAACATGAATTCACAAATCAACCAGTTTTTACAATTTTGGACAGATAAGCCGTGACTTCAGCATCCACTCACCTTCCAGATTAATCTAATTATATAGCAAAGAATGTAGAGCTTCATTTTTTCCACCCATTTTTTTTTCTTTTTTTTTAACCACCCAGACGAGGAAAGTCTTGCATATTCAAAGGTTACTAACATTTGCAGTATCAGCATCCTCAGAGGGACTCTCCGAAGGCCTTCTATAAATATCATCGAATGCAAGGTTAAATTCTCCAGCCTCTAAGTCGTCCATGTAGAAAGTCCGTGACAATTTCCTGGAATTTCTCCAGTCCAAGAGTTGTTCCGGTTCCTCCTCTTCACTTCTTTCCGAGAAATGATCATAGCAATCACGAGAAGGATCATGAGAGAAATTAGGAGGCTCTAGAAAACTAGTCTGCAGACCTGCACCCTGTGGACTAGATCTTGCCCACCAATGGCTCCTAGTAGGGTCTCCCACATTCTTTGAGTCGTGATGCTGTAGGACACTTTCCTGGAAGAGAGGGGCTGACGTGGATGCTTCGAGTTGACTCTGCATTCTATCCTCGACTGGACTCTCCCAGTTATCAAAATATCTTTCTTCATATTGTGCTTCATTTCGTGTAAAGTGGGGTGGGACCCAGAAATCTTTAGAGTTCTCCTCCTCATCACGTCTTGATGGATCATTTCTTAAATTATCAGCTCTCTCATGATTTTGAGAGGTATAAAACCAGTCAAGTATATATGGAAAGTTTTTCTGTTCACCATCTATAAGCCACATTGAACCAAACTGATTAAAAGTTTCCCTGTTAGTAAAAGGCGTTTCCCACAAGCAGCTGTTGTTTCTGTCATCTAAGCCTTTAAAATTTTGATTCGATAGTTGCTGCATCCCAGAAGGCAAATGTGCAGCTCTCATTTCCTGACCTTTCAACTTTTGATCTCTAAAAGTTCTGAGTGATGCAATAAATTGCTTCCCTTGAGCATCTGGTTCCCATGAAGGATAGGTTATCTGAAAGCTGCAAGTATATCAAGATTTGAAATCAGACATGTTCGAGGAAACCAGAACCATCTTAAATTGGGAAACACTATAGGTCCCTAATGTATTGCCCGAGTAGTGAGTTTGATCTCCAACCTTTAAAATGGAGCAAGTTGATCCTTGTATTTAGTCTTTAACAATGGAAACCCTCCCAATCTCTATTAAATTGTCACGTTCAATGTTCATCCTCATGTCTAATTTTATGTTCAGATTTTACTGGCCAACTGAATCGGTGTCCACAAATTCAATGTAAATCATGTTTCCATGAGGAACACATGACAAATGGAGATTTAGATGGTTTCCACAGTTGAGAACTGATAGTGCAATTATAAAGAAAGTTGAGGATCAACTTGAACTTTAAAAAAGAAGGGGACCAACTTGCTACATAGGCAATATGTCAAAGACTGATGCTCTAATTTTCCACTTTAAATTTTGATAAACTAGGCCATGACAGAAATATTTGAAATTATTATTGGACAAAGGTTTATTGAGGTAGCAAACCTCAAGAATGACTTTTCCAACTTTCCCTGGGAACTCCTCTGATTGCGAGGTGAATTAAATGGTGAACCATATTTGCTATTGCCATGATTTTCAAAATCAAAGAGACTAAACCTGCCACGGTAAACAATAAACTTCTAATTTTGCATGATAGAATTGAAGAACATATATTGTCCATATGGCAACCTTCAGAATATGCAGTAAAAGTGCAGATAAACAATGAAATACAAACCTGCAAACATGACCTACACCTTCAACATCTACAGTGAAGTCCATAATAAATTGCATGATATCATCCACCCGCTGCAGCATTAAAAGTATCAGAAATTCAGTAACGATAAATTTTAGTACCATGAAAAGCATACAAAAGATTGAAATGAATGACAACCTTTGGGACAACTGATAGAAGTAAGTATGGTGTGAGAAAGATTGAGGCCATATCCTCCAGTAACATCATTCCAGTGTACTGCTCAAGGAAAATCATTTGTGTTAGCTTACACATTAACAAAGCTAGCAGATGGCCAGTTTATTGGACACACACGTCATAAATTGTGTAATTATATAGCAATTATTACGAATGAATGAAATCCTCTGGATTCTGTTCGACAGAAAATATATGAAATCTAGGCACCACATTATCCTAGTCAATCAAGAGGATAAGAAATGTAGCAGCACATGCAAGATTTGACCTTGGTTTAGCTAGAAATTCAGTAGACATGTTAATAACCCAGAGAATGAGGGATGGCAAGTAACGCTGTCAACATGTCATAATAAAATTATTTAAAACAACATAAATGATTTAGGGAAAATTTCAGCATCAGTGCCCATCCTATTGTGCTAGTAATAACTTGATCCCCAACCTCAAAATCTAGACATTTAAATCCTCTCAATTCAGTTACAGCAGTGGCCCTTATGGAGGAAAACCATCCAACTTACCATAAATAGAATGCGACTACTCAAATTTAACTTTATGACAGGTAAAATGGGTAAGAAACGTTAATTTAAATACAAATAAGAGAGNNNGGGGGGGGGGGGGGGGGGGGGGGGGGAGAGACAGTACCATGTCCAACAAAAATTGCAAGGTTGATGATTTAAATGTCTAAATAAAGGTTGAGGACCAAATTGCTACAGGTGCTATGAATTGGGGACTAATGCTTTAGTTTTCCCCACTATTTAATCAACAAACAAGCAGTAAACTATAGTTATCTGAATACCAAGATCATGACATCTAAGAATGCAGTAACGCAGTAAAGGACCACATATTTGAGTTACTCTTCTTGAAAGACTTGAAATCATCAGGCATATAATGTGCTAATACCTGAAAGAGAGTTTCAAACTCCAACCGTACAGTTTCAGTGTTCTCTTTCCCACGCCATCTTTTTGGCATATAATGTGTATGTTGGACAACAAGTAACATCGCCCCTTGAGGGTCAAGGACAAGAAGCTCATCAATCATTGCAGCCCTGCTTACAGCTGTTATAGTTCCAAAAACTGCAGCATACCACAATAAGTTTCGACCAAATATCTGCAAGTGAGAATCAAATTCCATTAGGAAAAAGGAGGAAATGATTAAGTTATATCCTCTATGTGGAGCAAGAGTCGAGAAGTATTACATGGCCTTCCAGCAGAGATTCTTCCAGGAATGCAATGATAATGAGAACAGCAGCAAACCCACCAGAAACAAACGAAATGAACTTTGCAACAATGGTCAAGATAGGAGAAGGGAATTGCTTTAGATAATCAGAAGCATGTACTATACTGGTATTCATCCGGTGCTTGAACAAATGCTCAACCTGCCCGAGAGGGACGAGAAGTAATAAAACACTCTTTCAAAGAGCAAGCTATTATGCATAATTTAAGCAAGTTGAAGATAGAAACCATCTGACAAGTTCCAAGAAACAAGCTATGAGGTATAATTGTGCATATTTGAATTAGATGAGATCGCAGTCACAGTTTTGTGTATAACTAAAGTGTAAAATCCATAAATTGGATGAAACAGCTTCCTCACATGAATCCTTCCCCCTCAGGGCACCACCCAAGGAGAAAAAACAAGCTGCTGCAGCATGCAAATTTAAGACAAGAATATACCTCATTGAATTCCCTGAACATCCACTTCGAGAGATTTGACCATCGTCGAGATGATGCTGTACTTGGATGATTATAGAACTGTTCAGCATGCCTCAAGAAGAGATATACTAGCATGAATATAACAAGGAATGGAGAGAGTAGCAGCATTGCAAAGCCAACTATCATAAGCCTTTTCTTCAATGTTTTAGGATCAGAGACAAAATCCCTCCGTATGCAGAAGTTTCTGTCGAAATAAAGCATATTTGGATGACAAAATAGATATAGTAATCAATTTAAGCGATACCAAATTACATTAAAAATTATCACAGTAGTCAAGGAGACTATTTCAACTTGAAACCCAAATAACAAATATATGTTCACCATCATCTGTCAAGAAAGTGTCGCTGTCCAGACTACGAATAAATACATGGTCCCCATCATCCAATAAGGACACTTTATTTATTTATCATAATATGTGTGTCAAGTGTTTAATCATATATCTATGCACATTTTTGTATCCCATTCTCATATTTTCTTTTTACACTTTCAAGCTTTTGTTTCTTTATCGTATTAAAACCATGAGTCAAGCTGGTATATTAAGTTCCTTAAACCCGTTCCACGCATCAGGAAAGAGTTAATATTAGGTTTAACGAGACAAGAAGGGATGTCCCTAAATTTGGAGCATTACAATAACTATATTCAATGGGGTTAGTAAAATTCAGGAGGAAAGCTTGGTTTCAGTTACAGATAGAGGTAAAAATACAAGCAACTATAGACTACATGGTTCCCTAAAAGATACTTCAGTAGCAAGGAGAAACTGAATGAGTTAACCATTCCTGAGTCTCAAATCTGACCACAGAGCTCCTAGCAGCGCTTCATGACAATGTGAGAAGCTGGATTCGCATAAGACGTGTTCAGGAAATGACACTGACAGAAAGTCACGAGGAATTGATAAAGAGGTGAGGGAAAAACTTGGAAAATTGAGTAATTGGGATAAGACTAAGATGAGATGGTAAAATTGTAGAATGCTTAGGAGTTCAGTGGATCCCAAAAAAAAAAAGGACAAAATATCTGGCGACGGATCATACGAGAGGATGGGATGCAGGGGATACATAGAGAGTTTGCTTTATAAATTCTAAAGAAAATCGGAGAGAAAGGTAAAAGAAAAGTAAAACAGGGACGATAGAGGTTCTTAGCTAAAAGCAAATTCCATCCGTTCATTATTTTTCTTCTTTTCTTTTCTATAGGTGGAGGGCGTAGGTTGCACCAAAGAATTCTTCTACTTTGCACGGTTTCTGTGAAATCAAAAAGGATTTAGTGTGTGTTTGGTAGGGATTTTTTGGGGGAAGAATTGATTTTGAATAGTGATATGATGGAAAATGTGTGGTTGAAAAAAAAGATAAGATTATTGATGTGATAGAAAATACGAGAAATGTGTGGTTGAAAAAGAAGATAAGATTATTGATGTGATAGAAAATATTATTTTATTGAAGAATGTGTGGTTGAAAATGAGAATTGATTTACTGTTGAAAATGAGAATTGGTACCAAACATAACCTTAATTTTATAGTGGGCATGGACCTTGTGGTACCATTCAAACTCTTCCGAGAAAGATAAGGAAATATATTCCCTGTAACGCAAGTTTGTATAGTTTTATGTCCACGTTCCTACTTAAACATTTTTTTTCAAATGTTAAACTCAGTATCTACTCATAAATTAGTTGAATGGTCAGAGGATCTTAATTGGATTCACATGTTCTATCAAGAAGAATAATCTGTCCCTTTCAAAAGAATAGGGAAAATAGCACCACTAGTTCTCCCAACTTATTGCTCCAACTGTAAGGAAAGGTCGAGGACCAACTTGCTAGTGGAGCAATAGGCTGGGGACCAATGGTACAAATTTCCCAAAATAATAAAAAATAGGAAGCATTCAATTGGATATGGAAACATGATTAAATAGGACTATCCATAAGAAACAGCACAGACAGCAACCTAACATGCAGGATTTATTCCACTTATCTTTTCCCATATTCTAATTTACAGATGTTATTTTGCAATGGGGGGGAGATCATGGCTTACCTGTCAAACATACTCTCTAAAATGCACCAGTTCAAAGTCCATTCAAGGGTCTTCGGCAGTACTAGACGACGTTGCACACCGTCTGGACCAACACTGACAGTTGAACCAGCACCTGGGACCCACCGAGGAATTGGTAATGCAAGCACTCCTTTGTTGAGCATTCCAATTAAGTAATTCTCCTTTCTCATCAATCGCATCACTACATCGTGAATAGAAAGATCCTTGACCACGGTTAGTTGTTGCACACTTTGAACCTCAACAACTTTTTCAAGAATCAAAGCCCATGGGGTGGTTTGTATCTCGTTATCTGTCACATGGAGACTGCAAAAAGGTATTAACCTCTTTAAATCAGTTATGAACATAAGAATTTCAATCACTCCAATACATAATATTTGGGCAAATGGCAATCCATGGCCAACACAACTTGCCTCCACTAAACGAATTATGAGCAAGATAAATAATAAAAAAGGGGATTATCAAAGACAACTAGGCTTTCAACCCCATTAAATCCTACATCGCATGTCGATATACCTGTTGTAGTAAAAGTGGCGGATCTTAAGAGTCTCCTTTAACTGCGCAAAGAACCTCAAAAAGCAAAAAATCCAATAGATGGAAAATATTCCCAGATAGCCTACAATTATGGATTTGCAAAGGGTAAAAGGGGTCAGTGGATGCTCGTGTAAAGCTTCCTTGGATAGATCACAAGGCTTAATTCCAGATTCCACCGCAACCATCCCACACTTTGCATTGCGAAGGCCATTCCAATCAACGTACAACAAGAAGAACCCAGAGAAACATATGGTAAAAGCCAGGCTCAGAAGCTCAAATATCCACTTTATGATAATGCACCAAAGGCCTTTCTCACAGTAATAGCTGTAAATCCTTTGAAAAAACAGGTCCAGATCACCAATCGGTTCCACAATTAAAGTATCCCCATCAAGTAGCCCAGAAGGACTTTCACTACCGTGGCTTGGTGCTTTATGATAGTCAGACAATTCAATTTCATCAGGTATCTCATCAAGCAAACCAGTAGTTAGGGATGATCTAACACGCCATTTCCATTTGAATATGCTAAGAGCATGATCACCTTTTTGCCCACTGAACATCACTCATGCACACTGGAAATTGAATTCATTTACTCCGAAGATCATAAAATCCAAGAAGTATCTCATCATAAACGATCCTTGCTGATTTAAAGATTATTGTTGAAAGAAATTTGACAAAAACTAGCTGTTACCTCTTCTAATTCTGCAACTTAATAAAAGTAATAATGAATATTAGGTAGATATTTCAAAACGAAATGTAAAACCAAACAACTTATTGAAGACAGAATTTGAGAATTACTGTAGGCTTTTGTTATATACGAAGACAAAATCAGTTAGCTCGATTATTTGTAATTAGCATCTTACAAATACATATTTGTTATAACCATCCTGATTCTAGAGTTTTCCGTATGTCCAAGTGTCACTGGGTATAGGTTGAGATGTGAATGTTTGTTACGGACATGTTGCTTATAGATTTAATATTCGTACAGTGCTTCCAATTGTAAAATGCAAGAGAAATAACATTTAACTTTTCCTATGTTCTTCTTCCCTTCCTCAATTTTCCTCATACCTTCATGTAGTCTAAGTGATCCACGAGATTCCATGGCAGGGATTTGATGCCAGTTTTAAGGGTGATTCATTCATTACATTTGATTAACGAAACTCACAACTCTTAAACCCAAGGTAGCATTAGTTGGTAGATTAGAAATTCCCAGAAGGGTTTTCAGCCTGAAGCAGACAGTTTTTACAGCCACTTTTAATCGATGCTTGCCTGCAATTAGTAATCTAATATTTCTTTCTAATGAATCTATACAGTGCACAATTGAAAAAGCTCACCAATGGAATAGACAATTATTTGTTAAGACCAATTGAGAACGGATACAGATAATAAGAGAACTTTTATAGCAAAGTATAAGCATAAGGATCAAATTAAACTACCACATTACTAGTAAAAGACAGAAACTGCAAGCTGTGTATGTTCTCGTTATTTCTTTATTTGCTACTCAAACTGTGGGAAGCTAAGATTTATCTATGCAGCTAAAATGAACCTATACCAATCACCAGCCTCAAAATTCAGTGAATGGAAATCAATTTCCGGACAAAAAATCTTAAGGACTCACATTTTGCCAACACAAAACACCTCGGAGTAAACCAACACCAAAGAACAAGGGCAGGCCTTCACGGCTTTATCTGCCATTACAATCATCATGGAATGACTATTGAGCTCTACCTAATTATAATCCGTCGATTATATCAAACAATAACACAGCAGTGAATTCCAATATTTAATCAAAAAAAATCCAGCAAAAATTACATAAACTTGCCTTGTCAATTCACAAGTCAAAACAATTAAATTCAACAACCAAAAAAAAAAAATCTGAAGCCAAATTTCACCACCCCACAAGTTAACGAAAGTATTACAAGTTGAGATTTTTCTGAATAAGATGTGAATAATGAAAAAAAAAGAACTCCTAGAAATTTTAAAAAAAAAGTGTAGTTTGTCCACGAAGTTGATACAGAAAAGAAACCTATTGAAAAAACACAAGTTTCCGTAGTAGATTGCGTAGAGCAAAGGGGTATTTTTTTTTTGCATTCAATTTTCTCTCTCGTATGAGTCCCCCCAATCGTTCATTCCAATTTTTATTATTATGAAGAAGACGTGAGGACTCAGATGCGCTTGTTCATCTCGCTTCACAGTTTGTACTTTTAACCCGAATTTGTGACTTTTTTCTTGGCTTTTGCACACCGGGGTTACACCAAAGGCTCCGACCAATAAAAAAAAAAAGAATCATTACTGCTTTATTTGACGAGTATTGCTATTCATATTATTGGGGATAAAAATACAATCTACGTAGCGTTTATGTGACATTAAGTAATATGTGAAATTTAATCTATCATTTAAAAATACATATACTGTATTTTCATCCCTACTGAAAATGAATAACATTGCTCTTATTTGACAATAATTTTGACAACTCGGAGTTGCTAGCCCCATTAGAACTGTCAAAAAAAATTGTCAAATAAAGTTGTACGAATCAACTTTATTGAAAAAAAAGTCATTGACACCTACTGGGAGAGGCGGTATAACGAAGTGTCACGTAGCAAAACCCCCCTTTTTTTTAATCACTTTTATTCCATTTAAGGCGTTAATTTTTTTTTTTTTGGGCTGGCGGCTTTTGTTAGTTTTATTATTAGCAAACAAGTCCTACTTCTTTTTAAGTCCTCGACTTATTGCTTTAATAGCACCTTGGTCCCAAACTCACTAAAGTTTTCCAAAATACCATCAAATATAAACACGAGTCTCTCGTGTCAAACATGGTAAACACACAAATGATTTTAGTTAAAAAGAAAATAGATATAGTATACATTTGTTTTTGTGTTTATGTTAATTGCTTCTCTTTGCTTTAGCAGACTGTAATAACACTTAATTCAATACGAAAGATTCAAATTACATATTTAGTTTGTATTTAGATAGAGGAAGATGGAAAGTTAGGTTAGGAATTATTCACAAGAATCCGAATTGGCGAAAAGTCAATTTCATGGATTCTTCTGATGTATATGTACTTTCAACCATAGTTCTTTTAAGTTATGACATTGTTAATCAACTCTCAAACGTTGTCCTATAATTTAGTGCTTGAGAATATGCTATTAAAGAATTTGACTCCCTCATTTATCTTTCTGGAAAAATTACTTTTGAATCGATATTCGATATACTTTTTATTGTTGGGTTTGCAATGACAGAAATTGATGGTTGTGGCCTGAGGTTGAGTGATGATTCAATTTCATAATATTAAATAAGTTTAAAACTATAACCACACTAAAGGATCCAAAATTAATTCTCTCCCACTTTTTTATTTTTTTTGTAAAGCCATCGATAGTTCAGTTTTTTTGGGCCAACTTATTTCATTCTAAATAATTACTGCCGGTGTGTTGTAATATTTTTAAATATTCAACACCAAAAACAACTCTGCAATGTCCAATTTTCGTTTTCCAAAAATTACTCATTTTAAATTTTACTTATCTCCTTTTAACTGAACCAGCGACTACAGTTCTCCGATACAGCCAACCCCATAGATCTCAATTCTCCTTCTGCAAAGTATCAGTTTAATCAAGAACTTCTGGTAACTCATCTCTCTCTCGAAAAAACATTTTCACTTTTAGAGGTCTTCAGGTTACTGTGTTTTCGTAATATTCGTGTCATGGGTTTTACTTTTTTTGGATATTTCTTGGGGCATCACTGCGTAAACTCAACTATTCAGTCTAGGTGTTGTGTGTGTTTGTGATGAATCAATTATATAATTTCAATTTTATGGGTTCTTTATTTTACTGCCGATTTCTGCGTTAATTTGCATCTCGATTCTTGCACCAGATTTGACTGCTGGGTGTGGTTATTTGAGTGATTCTTCATGTTAAATACTCGTTGGCTCCCTAATAACATGGTTAATCGTTTCTCATTTATTATATTATCTGGGTATTGCATTTCCATTTTGTATAAGCCAATTGAGATTGAGACTAAATGGGGGAAATCTTTGATTTTGTTGCCGTCTAAAACGGTTTTTTTTTTGTTGTGAACGGAGAAGGAGAAATTAAGTCCACAAGGAATTATTATAACGGATAACGTGATTATAAACTAAATGAAGAATACAAATTGTGCTGTATTTGTTGATGGCATTATTAACACGTCATTCCTGGATATTAGAATTTTAAGAAGTTTAAAGCTACTTGTACATAATTTCTTGTACATAAGGAATGGAGGATTTGTTGTTGGCTTGTTTGTAGATAACTTGAATGTTTGTATGGTAGCTTTCCGATAAATAAAGTTTGAGCTTCTTTATTCATTTCAACCTTATTAAAACAGCTTAAGGTGTATCTCTGATTGTCATCTATTCCCTCATGCAGTCCCACTAGTTTACAAGGTTGATTTTCTGCTGGGAATATCTTCCATTCCTCCCTCTCCCAGAAAACTGTTGTGGCAATCTGGTCGGTTTGTAGCTCGGGAGAGAATTTGTAGCTTGGTTTTGTGTGTTCCATTGTTTCTTGGAGATCTTATAGCATAGGTTTATCTCAGAAAGGCTTGACAACATTCTCTTCTCAGCACAAAGACGTCACAAGGTTATTTCTTATACGCTTGGACAGCCAGGGGCCTAACATGTTAGCAGCTGCCCAAATTCGCCCAGCCTTTTACTTCTGTAATAGGTCTTGATGCACATGCAAAGAACTTCTAAGTTTGGATTTTTTTCTCTTTTTGGTTTTATTTATCCATTTTTTTAACTCATATATATGACAAATTGCAGAGATAACTCTATCAAATTAAGTTGTCCCTCTAATATATCATCATTGAGATCCTGTCGGCTTGCTGGAAAAGTTGATTTTGCTCGGGGTGCCAAGAATCACAATTTTTTTGTTCCCATTCAACGTAGTAGATTATTTTTGGCTCTTGATTCGAGTGATGGTCACCCAGGTTTATCAGTGCCTGAAGAAGATACAATCAAAACTTGTGGACCGAATAATGAACCAGAGACGTTATTGAGTAGATGGTCTCCACCCAGGTACTTGTGGAGGGGCCTGTCTGTCCTTATATTGGCAGGGCAGGTGATTGTTAGGACTTTAAAGGGCAAAATTCACTGGAAAAACACTCTGCAACAGCTAGAGAGGGTTGGACCGAAATCTGTTGGTGTCTGTCTCTTGACATCGGCATTTGTGGGCATGGCTTTCACTATCCAGTTTGTGAGGGAATTCACCAGATTAGGGCTAAATAGATCTGTCGGCGGGGTTTTAGCTCTCGCCTTTTCAAGGGAGCTGAGTCCCGTTATCACAGCGATTGTCGTTGCAGGACGTATTGGAAGTGCATTTGCTGCAGAACTGGGCACAATGCAGGTTTCTGAGCAAACTGACACATTGATAGTTCTTGGTGCAAACCCTGTTGATTATCTTGTGACACCAAGAGTGATTGCTTCCTGTGTTGCTTTACCTCTTTTAACTCTAATGTGTTTTACAGTAGGCATGGCATCTAGTGCTCTTCTCTCCGATGCTGTTTATGGAATTAGCATAAACATTATCTT